AATATTTTAAAATTAAAGAAATTTCTTTTAATTTTATATAAGAATTTACCTTATTTTTAAGGTCTTTTATATATTCTTAATAAATTCTATTATATAACTAATTATTAAGAAATTTAAAATATAATAAATTATAACTTACTCTTCACAAATCCTCTGAATCTTCAGGCCGGCCCTGGCTCGATCAAGTCGTGCCAGGCCTTAGTTGTTCGCTCCTCAGGTCCACAGAGGGCCATGGCCATCATGTGCAAACCCGTGGCTTCACAGTAGGCCCCGACTTGCCGAATGATGAGCTCATAGAGCAGCAACTTGCTGTCTCCCGGTTTCATGGCCTCCTTGATGCGAGCCAGGATTCCCTCACAAATAGTATCGGGCCAGTTGTGCATGTAGGAGTTCATAAAGTACGCCGGAACACCTCATGAACCAGTAAAATTATGCATCAGAATATCAAGGGAAAGGAAGCTGGGGACTCTCACCTTTCACAGGCTGCTCTGTGGTGAAGGTAGTCCGTGATCTCGATAGATGAATCCAAGTCTGTGATCTAGCTAGTCATCGCGGGCAGATCCTGAAGAATGAGTGCCTCGGGTGCGTCCGGGAAAAAGCGTTTAAATCGAAGCAGGTCCCGACCAATGCTCCCGCCAATATCCACCAGAAAGGGTCAATGGTGAGCTTGCATCGGCGTTCGCACCGTAAATGAGCCTCCCCTGGACGGGATAAATGGACGAATCCATCCAAGGGAGGCGGTCCAGGCTATAACCACCCAAGTTGTCAGTCCAGGATGCGTGCATCACAGGCGTGCCCCTCGCATCAGTCTGGCCAGCCTTTTCTGTCCCCGCTCCCGTGAGCATTCGCAGTAGAGATACACTCAAGTCCGCGATTCTAATGGTTGTCAGCAACGGTAGTAATGCCAGGGAACACACCAGGAGGGGATAATCTTCGGGCCACTTACAGCGCAAGGTAGCCATGCGTAATGGCTGGATTGCTCAAGGCTTTGGTGAGATCATTGCCTTTGTATTTATTAGGGTGTAAAAGGTCTACGGGTA